CCTCTAAGGCCTAATATATATTAGAAGCTCAGAAAACTGTTGCTTTGTAAAAGTCTGTATCTAATTTTATGCTTTAAAACAATTTATGCTGTTATTAAACTTTAAATCTATTAAAATGTTTTCTGCAAAGCTATACCATTCAAATCTGTTTTTAATTGGAATACTTTTATTATAGTTAACTATAATGGCATTCAGCATAATATTCTACAAATTATTACTTATAAAATAGATCCTGTTAATTCACAGCAAAGTATATATGGTGTGTGGTTTAAATAGCTTATTTACTTTGTTTCCAACCCTGGTACAAAGCTTTCTAATTTTTTTGTATTCTGTCTTACCTGATTGTCACAATATCTAGTGAGGGGGAGACCATCATTATTTCACTTCAAAGATGAGGAAACTGAGATTCATCGAGGATAGGTGACCCACCCAAGACCACAGAAGTAATACATATTATTCTATAGATGCCACCCATTTTCTACCAAGCATTTCTTCATAGTACTCACATTCTTGGAGAAGTTCTCCTTCTCTAGACCCAGAAGAACCAGAAGAAACAACTCCAGGTACCACCATGACCAGTGCTCCTTATCCGTCAGCTAGAACTGAGTGGACAAGCAGCATCTACCTGATCTAAGTTGAATCAATCAGCTTTTCTCTCACAAACTGGAAATTAGTACACTGAAAAACCAAGTCAGTCTTTGCTGAATGCTTAAAATAAGACGAGTGTTGAGGCCAGGGCTTGGGAGCGGATGTTCACAGTAAAGCAGAAAAGGCGGGAAAGGGGCAGAGGAGAGGAGAAGCCCGCACAAGTGGAGGTAAAAGCAGGGACAGTTCACTTCCAATGAGATGGACAAAGCTGTTTCCAATACAGCAACAGTTCTTGGGCTTAGATTCTGGAAAATACCCTTGCATATCTCCCATAAATCCTCCTTTCTCCTGAAGCTAGTTTGAACAGGCTTCTGTTGCCTAAAACTGAATGATTCTTGAGAGCAGAAGCAACTAAGTTTGAATCCACATTTCCCGAATCCAAAACTGATCCTTATTTCACTGTTATCACCACTGAAAGCCAGTAATATTTATTAGAGAAATTGAGGAATTAGCCAATTTTAGTTTAAGCCTACACTCTGTAGTCATAAAAATTCCTCAAATATTCCTTCCTAGGGTAACAAAATTAATCATGCTTATTTTAACTTTAGTGGAGAATAAAGCTGATGCTCACAAGCACATATGTAAACATTATTTATAAAAAGATAAAAGTGACCATCCAGTTTACTGTCAAGTAATTCACTCCCATCTTTATATGAAAACCAAGTACTTCTAGGATATACTTAAGACATCCTGCTCATTTGTTGACATATTCAGGATATCTATACTTAGACAACAGTACTAACAGTCTCCTCAATCATGTAATATTCTACTATGCCCCTCATTATTAATTACATTTTATCATTAACAATAAAAGTTGGTTTGAATGTCTAGATGATATATGCATAGCTACTCTGGAAAGAAATTAGTAATAATGATAATGGCATGGTAATACTCCTCTTTTATATGTAGATAACCTGTATAATTATTTATTGTCCCAAGCCTTTCTCTTTGGAAGAAAAGAAAGCATTCTATTATTGACAGTACAGTGATACCTAGTATCAATGAAAGTCCTAGAGAATTGTCAGAGATACTAAGATAAAGGGGATAGCCTGTAGACACATTGTCCTGACCCATGCCAGCTGCTGAGCAATCTGGTACCAAGACTCTTGACAACTATAAGGACTCAAAGTCTCTAAACTGCCCATGTCTTTGCCTCAAGACAGAAATTTGGGAGACAGGAGGTACTGGCAGGGCAGGAGGCCAATAGAGTGTGAACTCTGAGATCTATGTAATCTAATCTTTAGAAAACAAGTTTTTTTGTTTATCTGTCAAAGTTTAGCATATTACTTAGGTATTTCTCTTTAAGGAAAAAGGTCCACATGAACTATCTAGATTGCAACTAGGGATTACAATGAAGTTCTTGCCAAGAACTTGCAAACAGAAATAAGCATATCCACTGAGATATAGGTAAATATATTATAAGTAAGGGGCTTTCCTGGTGGCTCAGTGGTGAAGATTCTGCCTGGTAATGCAGGAGATGAGGGTTCGATTCTTGGGTCTGGAAGATCCCCTGGAGAAGGAAATGGCAAACCACTCCAGTATTCTTGCCTGGGAACTCCATTGTAAACTTAATACTTTTTCCTTCGTAATTAATAAATTCTTGGGGAAAATACTTTTGAGACTGTGCAAATATTCTTGTTTCAGCTTAGATGCTTCAACCACTGATTTTTCTACTTCATTTTTTAACATTTATTAATTGGAGTGCTTCTGTAAAAAACAGATGTTCCACTGTATTCACTTATTTAACTATTTATATTGGAAAAGGCTCTTGGATATTCATCTTATTTATTTTATTACTACTGTTAAGTTACTTTTTTTGCTCAAATTGTTTCAGCTTTGGCCATTTGGAGCTCTTTCAGGCTGGCTCCTATGTCTTTATTACGTGATCCTATACTTTCTGAGCACTCCCTTTTCGGCCTTATCAAAGATACACTTGGTTCATCCTATATTTTCCCTTCCTCAGTTCCTAGAATCAATCACTTTTAGAGTTAGTCGTGGTTCCTTTCATTGGAGAATGGTATCCAGAAACCAGTCTGTGGGCACTAGCTGTGCTCACTAATGCTGGGGTATTACTACTAGGCTCTCTCAGTGGAAAGAGCCTGGAAATATATCAGTGACTGCCAAGAGCAGGAAGCCAGAAGACGGGCTGATGCAAAAGCAGTAGCACAAGGGGGTGATGGAACTGTTCTGCATCACAATTGTGTTTTTATGAAAACATATACGACTATACACCAAGAATGAATTTCACTGTATATACATTTAAGCAAAACCCCAAACAAAAATCACTAGGATGTGAAGGGAACCCCAAATGGAATACAAGGTAACAAATCAACCTAGTACTGTTATAAATGAATAGTAAGACCACACTGAAGGGAGTGGAGAAAAAAAGAACGAACGTAAGTCTTGGAAAACAATATTTTGACTGGATACTGAAAGGCTCATGACAAAACTGAGCTATGCAAATAGTGTTCTTAGTTAGTACCCCTGTTTCTTACAGGGGTGTGAGGCAACAATTTCAAAACTACCTTACAGGTTGCACAAATAAGTGAATATATTGCAGATAATGAGAGTCAGGTTTCTCATAGTTTGAGAAAAAAATTACAAATAAGGGAGAAGGCTAGAATGACCCCTGTGGTACAGAACTAGAATCAGAGATCTCATTATGAATTTATGGTCTTAAAAACTGTGTGTATAAAAATACATATACACACATATAAATAAATATAGAAACAGAAATAAATATAGATGTATATGTATGCATGAGTGCACAAACATACTTTTATTTCCAGGACAATTCTGAGTGCTTTACATTTATTAACTCACTGAATATTTATACCAAAATTTTTAAGAGAAACACTATTATATAATAGGTGAGGAAACTGGGAATATGAGCAACTGCCCTTGGCCACAGAGCCTAGTAAGTGGCAGAGTTAAAACAGCAACGCTTGTGGGCTGGTTCCACTGTCTGAGATCTTAATCAGCACGCTAGACTGCCTTTTATCAAAGGGATAAATGGACTCCCTTTTATGAAGGGAGTTTATCAAGGCTGGATACCCCTCCCCAAACAAAACCAACAACATAAAGGAGATAAAAGTAAATATGCAGGAAATTGGAAGGAGTAGGGTAGCCTTATGTAATGTGATCATCTTCTAATTAGGTTTTAGAAGTTTGGTCCTTGAGGTCACCACTGCAAAGCTCTCAACAATCATCACCTTAAAATGATGGCTACTGTGAAATCAAGGCATAACACATGTGGTTTTATGTTTCCATTAAGAGAGCGGGAGTGCATTCCCCTCATAGTTAGAACTACTCATCTCTTGCTGACCTCAAAAGGAATCATAAGCCACATGAGGACAACTACATTTCATCTATCAAGCAATAAGAGCATTTAAGATATAAATATGGAAATGGATTCAGAAAACAAAATCCAACACTTACTGAACTCTTAGGATGAGCCAAGAACTTCTTGAAACTTTTTAGTATAATGGACTAACTTGTTTAAGTCTCACGAGCTAGACAACTGTTTTTATCTTTATTTGAGAGAAAGAACATGGGCAAACTCCGGGAGATGGTGAGGGACAGGGGGAAGCCTGGTGTGAGGCAATCCACGGGGTCACAAAGAGTTGGACACAACTTGGCAATTGAACAACAACGAGAGAAAGAAAAACTGAGACAAAGAGAAGTTACAAAAGTGCCTGGCATCACACAGCTTGTGTGAAGTCAGGATGTGCTACTACTGTATTATGACACTACTCATAAAAGTTATGCTTTTCAGTTGTAAGCCTTTGACAAATCAAATAAACATCAATAATTAAATGTTGTAACATTAAACCCATGTATTTTAAAAGTTAACTAAAAAGGAACCAAAATGTTCAAAAGAAAAAACTTCTGTCTTCCTCATTCAATAAATCTATTTTAGGTATGTTGATGCCTTCTAATGACTTTTAAAACCAGTAACTGCATGTGATAATTTTCAGATTTGCATTTGCTTCAAAGGAAATCTACCTGATGGAGATTTTTCTGTTAAGTAACTTGATATTATTTGCAGATTTTTTGGTTTATATCTGGGGATAGTAAGAATTTAAGGATACTAAAAAGAAAAAAACAGAACAAAAGAAATTGTAAAATAATTTAGGGATATTTAAAAAACTTCTCAGTTGCATTTTGCCTTTGGATTTAATGTCAGGAAAATCACACCAGTACAAAAATAAAATAAATGAGATTATAAAAAAATGTTTTCTTCAGAATACATAGGCAAAAAAATACCATAGTCACAGTTATTTGAGCAATTTATATGAAAACCATGAATATTTCAAAAGTTATCACCATATGCTAGCACATATAACAAATACCTCATGTCTTGGATAAGAGAGACCCTGAGGGTTGGCAACATAACTCCTGAGTCAGATTTTCTTCTTTCTGGTCCAAGGGCAACTATGTAGAAAAATATCAACAAAGTATCAGAAAAACAACAGTAGAGACTTAAAAAAAAATCTACATGGTTCACATTCCACAAATAAATACTTTGAAGCTACTTTGATATGAACAAATTTTAAAGATAATAGAAAAGCTCAAATTTCTTTACCCAGTATTCCTACTTTATTATTACAGTAAACTAGCTATTTTCTTCCTTGTTAATATGGGGCTTTATCTGAAAATTTTAAATGAATCATAAGAACCCACATAGCAAATAAGACAATGTGTGTACATTTTGGCCAGAAGGGCCAGTCATTTTCTAAAGTTATCATTCTAATAGCTTTGAACAATTACAGGAAAGCAGTGTCTGTAAATTAACCTACTAAGTACATGAATCATCTCTGGTCTCATTAGCTATAATCATAAAATTTCCCTTTTGAAAAAATGTTTAAAAAGAAAAACTTAAGAGTTTGGATTCTATAGTCTGATAAGTTTCTACTTCAAGTTCAGAATCCAAGTAACAGGTTGTATGATAAACAAAGTGAGTAATCTAAATGGACAGTTAGAAGTACAATGTCTATGAGTCATTCTCTTATGAAGCCTGAAGAGCTAACATTTATGTAAGAAGGAAAGATTATTCTTTTATATAATTATGGCTAAACAATCAATTATTGGCTAATATATTGTACTTGGGCTTCCCTGGTGGCTCAGTGGCGCCAATGTGGTAGACTCAGAATCTTCCCTGGGTCAGGAAGACCCCCCGGAAAAGGAAATGGCAGCCCACTCCAGTATTCTTGCCTGGGGAATCCCATGGACAGAGGAAGGAGCCTGGTGGGCTGCAGTCTATGGGGTTGCAGAGTCAGATACGACTTAGGGACTAAACAGTAACAACAATATTGTTGGAGTGCTCAATCTCACTTTAAGCGAGATTCTGTGGAGTTCAGTGCCCTTTATTTCCATTTCCTCATCTGTAAATGAAAACTAAATTGCAACACCACACTTGGCAAATACATCACAAAATGAGAATTAAGGATGCGGGTTTTCACTGTACATTAAACTTGCATTTTCTCAGTTTTTAGACCCATTCTACTTTCGGGGGCTAGGATACAATATCAGAACACAAGTTTATATGAAGCTGGCACTGAAGGAAGACAGGGAACATTTTGGGGGATAAGGATCTGCAAGTTTTTGGCACTTGATGCAAGAAGCTCAACTGATACTTGGCAGGTATAACATAAATGAACATTGATGGAGTTGCCAGGGCAAAAAGAATGTAGCCAGACCAACCTAAAGGCAGTTCTTTTGAGGGCCTTCCCTACCAAGTAGGTAATAAATAGGGCATCTGTCTTGGCAGTTTGGGGAGGGAGTTTTCAATGGGTCACTGAAAACACTGGTTGATCTCAATACCCAAGAGGTAACAGACACTGAGGACACTATTTCAGAGATTTGCAGGCAATATGTTGTTTGTCTTCCTGTTTGAGACTATTACCATGTAAGTGTGTTAATTAATGAAAGCACATCCCTTTTATTGGAGAGAAAGTGAAATGCTTCAGAGAATGCTTCTACACCCAAGATGATTAGACAGCATGTAAGATGGCCACACACCTGGTAAGAAATGGGTTGAGAAGAGAAAAAGAAAAAGACCATGAGGCAGGAGAAAGGGGCTGAGTTACCATAATCTGGCAACTTGACCAGAGGAAGACAGGACAACAGAAGGAATCATGCTTCAGGGGGCAGAGAACAGGTGCGATATTAAATAATAGAGGAGCCTGACATTTAAAAAAGCTGTAGCATCCACAAAAAGAACATTCACAGGTCTAAGCATGTTCTAGGAATCCTATTTTGGAATCCTCTTTCCATGCCATCCTTCACTGATCAATATTCCTTTTTTTTAAAAAAAATAATTTATTTTTAATTAGAGGATAGTTGCTTTACAATGTTGTGTTGGTTTCTGCTGTACAAGGATGTGAATCAGCCATAAGTCTACATATATCCTCTCCCTCTTCAGCCTGCCTCCCATTCCCACCATCCCACCCCTCTAGGTCATCACAGAGCACCAGGCTGAGCTCCTAGTGCTATGCAGCAACTTCCCACTAGCCATCTTTTTTATACATGGTAGTGTATATATGTCAGTACCACCTTCCCCTTCCCCCACTGTGTCCACAAGTCCATTTTCTACGTCTGCATCTCTATTCCTGCTTTGCAAAAATGTTCATCAGTACCATATTCCTTAAACACACAATATACTTTTTCACGTCTTCACGCAATTTGTTAAAGGCTTTTGCTTTTACAGTGTTTCTGTATTTTTCTTGTTTATGGCCTGTTTATCACTTCAGATTGACAGCAGTACAGCATAATGGTTAAGAAGATGGTTTTCTCAAACCCTACAGAGAAATTAATAGCTCACTGGCCTCAGGTGGGTCATTTAACCCCTCTATAGTCTGTTTCCTCACCTGCAAATTGGGGACAGTCACAATACCTACCTTATTCAAACAGATGTAAAACACTTACAATAGTGCCTGGCACAAAGTAAATTCTCAAAAGAAAAAAAAAGAAATTTAGTTTTAATTTTGCCTCTGTGTGAAATCTTTCCTGAATATACTTTCTCCCCTAGGCACACTGGTAGATAAGTTATTCCCTTTCTCTTGTGGGACTTGTAATACTGAACCTCTATCACAAATCTACCACAATTTAACACTTCTGTTACTCTTATTATTAAATTATATGCCTCTTGAGGCTTGGTTATATCCTATTCTTAGAATATCCAGAAGGCCCCTGAAAATGCTGAGCAAATACTCATTGAAGAAGATAAGATTATTTAGGGCCAGATGGCAGAACCTTAAACAACAAGTTAGAAACATACAGAAATCCTAGGGAGGGGAAAGAGATTTTGAAAAGAAATGATATGCTTCTCAGTGCTTTTTTTTTGGCCACATGCTATGGCATGTGGGATCTTACTTCCTGACCAAGGATTGAACCCGCACCCCCTGCAGTGGAAGTGCAGAGTCTCAATTACTGAACCTCCAGGGAAGTTCCCTACCGCTTTTCAGTCAGTCAGGTAGAGGACAGTGTGATGGTGTGTGTGCACTTAGCTCTCAGTCACCTCTGACTCTCTGTGACCCCAAGGGCTGGAGCTGCCAGGCTCCTCTGCCCATGAGATTCTCCAGGCAAGAATACCAGAGTGGGCAGCCATTTCCTTCTCCAGGGGATCTTCCCAACTGAGGAATCAAACCTGGGTCTCCTGCATTGCAGGCTGATTGATTCTTTACCATCTGCGCCAGGGAAGCCCAGTGTAACGGTACAAATGCTACAAGGGAGATGAGCTAGAAGTTGTTTCAGAGGCCAGCTTGTAGATGAACTAAGACAGTGGCAGCCAGCGAAAACAAAGAGGAGAAATATGCAGTGGAATTAAATAACTAGATTAAGGGTAAGCAAGACTCAAGAGTCAAAACAATATTAAGTATGAAAATAAACTGTTTTACTATATACTATTCCATAATCATAACTTTCCTTTATTTAATCTTGATTTTGCAAATGAAAAAACTGAGGCTCAAAGAGGTTAAGAAATCTGCCCCCAAAATTCCATTAATTAAAAGGGGTAGAGTATTCTGATGTCATGTCCAGTGGACTGTTACATTAAGGATGACTTTCTGGCTTTCTTGACTGAGAAGAGGGTTATGATGTCATTCAGTGAAAATGAGAAGGAATAAAGTATGATTGGGACAGGAGGGAGAGGTGCTAAGATAATGAGTTTGTTTCAGGATGAGTTGAGTTTGAGGTCCTATGGATGTCTAGGAACTACAGCTGGAGATAGAGACTTATGAAAAATCTGCTAATGGGATAAATTGATGGTAACAGTGCATTAGCTGTCAACAAAAAGGTGCTGAAGTCCTAACCTCCCAGTACTTCTACAATCCCATTTGTGGTCCTATACAATGGCAACTACAGGAAATTAATACAGTATTTTATTAGCAACCTTTGGAGGGAAGTTTAGAAGCCTGTGAACAAAAATGTAGATTAGGAGTTAAGGAATGAGGCCATAGTTTTAATCTAGAGATCTAAAATCTAAGAAAGTTTCCATGAAGTCTCTTCTAGACAGAAGAAAAATTTATAACTATTCAAATGTATATTTATATTAGTATTTCTTTTTCTTTTTTTTTTGCTACACTGCACAGCTTGCAGGATCTCAGTTCCCACCAGGGGATTGAACCTGGGTCACAGCAGTGAAACTCTGGAATCCTAACCACTAGTTCAACAGGGAACTTCTTCTTAGTGTTTCTTAATTCGCTATACTCAAATCCAATAGGCTACTTTCTCCTTCAATACAAACACTGGTTTAATATTCAGCCACAGAAATGTCCTTTGTATTCTGCCTGCATGAATGCTACTGCATAGACAGCAAGTACACAGAGCATAGAGACTGCATGTATTATTTTACAGAGTCATAATATACCCACGGGCAGGTAAGTAAAAAAAGAAACTTTTGATGAAGATCAGACGTTTAAAGAGTGACTCCAAATTCTTGGCCAGATCTAGAAGAACCATTTAAACTACTATTTCTATTCCCTTCTGCATTCTACCCCACTCCTTGCCAATAATTTTATTTTTTGCAAACAGAGCATCTCTTTATTTTTTTTTAATATTGTAGTGGTTTTTGTCATACATTGACATGAATCAGCCATGGATTTACATATATTTCCCATCCCGATCCCCCCTCCCACCTCCCTCTCCACCCGATTCCTCTGGGTCTTCCCAATGCACCAGGCCTGAGCACTTGTCTCATGCATCCAGCCTGGGCTGGTGATCTGTTTCACCCTAGATAATATACATGTTTCGATGCTGTTCTCTCGAAACATCCCACCCTCACCTTCTCCCAGAGTCCCTTGCTAATTATTTTAAAAGTGCATTTAAAGTTTAGTCAAAACTTATCTGAGGATGCAAGGTTTGGAGACAACACCCATGTCTAAGCTGGTCCACATATTTAAAGGTAGAAACTTTTGGGTGATATATCAAGAATGGTTCTCTTTCTAGAATCAACTACATTCTGAGATCCTCTCTCTAAATAGGACTTCTAACTACTAGGTACAGTGACTTTGTCAAAATTTGATGAGGTCAAAACTAAGACAGTTTTAAAAGATATGGAGGGAACTTAAGTGCATATTACTAAGTGAAAGAAGCAAATCTGTAAAGGCCTCATACCACATGATGTCAACTATGACATTCTAGGTAAGGCAAGACTATGGAGACAATTAAAAAAATCAGTGGTTGCCAGGGGTTAGAGGAGAAGGATGGGTGAATAGGTGGAATAGACGATTATTAGGACAGTGAAGCTACTCTGTATTACACTATAATGGTGGATCCATGTCATTACCATGTATCTGTCTAAACCCACAGTACATATGACACACCAAGAGTGAAACCTAATGTAAATAAATATGGGCTTAGGGTGCTGATGTGTCGATGAAGTTTCAACAACTGTAAGAAAGGTACTGCTCTGGTGGAGAAGCAGGATAATGAGGGAGGTTATGCATGTACGGGGGTACAGGGTTTAGGGGAAATCTCTGAACCATCTGCTCAATATTGCCATCAACCTAAAACCACTCTAAAAATAAAATCTATCAAAAAATCTTAAGACAAGTCTACCCTGCTATGGTCTTCTTGCTAAGACAGACTTTTTCCATTCTTCTACAATCCTTAAAATGTTTGATTCTTGTTTAGGGCTGCTTCCTGGCTCAATGCTAGGAAGAGCTGTGTTCAAATTCACTGTGAATCTCTAAGGACTTGGAGGATCTTTGCATAATATGAAGATGCATACTGTTTACTGCCATTAATTAGAAAGCTAAGTAGTTGGCAAACAATTTTTTGCGAAAAAAAAAAAAAACCACACACCAGATTTAAAATCATTAAAGTCAGGGAACTGCTAATTTCTGTATAATTACAACAGTGTTTCTCAATAATGAATTTTATTTTTAAACTTATGTTTTTATATACATTTCACACTGTCATATTTTTAAGTCCTAACTTCATGGGCTGAATCATCACAAGTGTTAGAGCAATATTTATCAAATCCACCCCTCCAAACAGACAGTCAATTTGATTTCAAACGCTACACAGCTTACATTAATCCTACTTAGGACCAGTGTAATATTTAGCTTGTGTTTATTCTTGGATCACCAGCCCTCACTGACACTTGGCAGTGCAGCATGACGACTGCATGAGGCTTTCACACATTCCGTATTTCTGAGCCCTGACTCGAGTTTCACTAGTGTCATTACCGACTGCCTGAAGCGCCCTACAAATGGCTGAGTCTCTGGTCTCTAGCTCAACCACCCAGGACTTGGTTATTCAAAGCCATGAACTTCCTGGTGTTGCCTGGTAGCTGCTCACTCTAGCAGATGGACATTCTCACATGCCTGTTTCAGTCAGTTCAGTCAGTCAGTTGTGTCCGACTCTGCGACCCCATGAATCGCAGCACGCCAGGCCTCCCTGTCCATCACCAACTCCTGGAGTTTACTCAAACTCACATGCCTGTTTCGTAGAAGTCAAATGCCTCCCTGCCTAACAAAGCTTGGTTTTGCAACATTTCATCCTACAAATAGCTATTTCTTCCTAGGAATTTATTCTAATTAGGGTAAACTACATTGAATATCACTACGAACAAAGCTAGTGGAGGTGATGGAATTCCAGTTCAGCTATTTTAAATCCTAAAAGATGATTCTGTGAAGGTGCTGCACTCAATATGCCAGCAAATTTGGAAAACTCAGCAGTGGCCACAGGACTGGAAAAGGTCAGTTTTCATTACAATCCCAAAGAAAGGCAATCCCAAAGAATTCTCAAACTACCACACAATTGCACTCATCTCACACGCTAGTAAAGTAATGCTCAAAATTCTCCAAGCCAGGCTTCAGCAATACGTGAACCGTGAACTTCCAGATGTTCAAGCTGGTTTTAAAGGCAGAGGAACCAGAGAGCAAATCACCAACATCCGCTGGATCATGGGAAAATCAAGAGAATTCCAGAAAAACATCTATTTCTGCTTTATTGACTATGCCAAAGCCTTTGACTGTGTAGATCACAATAAACTGTGGAAAATTCTGAAAGAGATGGGAATACCAGACCACCTGACCTGCCTCTTGAGAAACCTATATGCAGGTCAGGAAGCAACAGTTAGAACTGGACATGGAACAACAGACTGGTTCCAAATAGGAAAAGGAGTACGTCAAGGCTGTATATTGTCACCCTGCTTATTTAACTTATATGCAGAGTACATCATGAGAAACACTGGGCTGGAAGAAGCACAAGCTGGAATCAACATTGCCAGGAGAAGTGTCAATAACCTCAGATATGCAGATGACACCACCCTTATGGCAGAAAGTGAAGAGGAACTAAAGAGCCTCTTGATGACAGTGAAACAGGAGAGTGAAAAAGTTGGCTTAAAGCTCAACGTTCAGAAAACTAAGATCATGGTATCCGTCCCCATCACTTCATGGGAAATAGATGGAGAAACAATGGAAACAGTGTTAGACTTTATTTTTGGGGGCTCCAAAATCACTGCAGATGGTGATTGCAGCCATGACATTAAAAGACACTTGCTCCTTGGAAGGAAAGTTATGACCAACCTAGATAGCATATTAAAAAGCAGAGACATTTCTTTGCCAACAAAGGTCCATCTAGTAAGGCTATGGTTTTTCCAGTGGTCATGTATGGATGTGAGAGTTGGACTGTGAAGAAAGCTGAGTGCCGAAAAATTGATGCTTTTGAGCTGTGGTTGTTGGAGAAGATTCTTGAGAGTCCCTTGGACTGCAGTGAGATCCAACCAGTCCATCCTAAAGGAGATCAATCCTGGGTGTTCTTTGGAAGGACTGATGCTGAAGCTGAAACTCCAGTACTTTGGGCACCTCATGAGAAGAGTTGACTCACTGGAAAAGACCCTGATGCGGGAGGGATTGGGGGCAGGAGGAGAAGGGGACGACAAAGGATGAGATGGCTGGATGGCATCACCGACTTGATGGGCACGAGTTTGAGTAAACTCTGGGAGTTGGTGATGGATAGGGAGGCCTGGCGTGCTGTGATTCATGGGGTGGCAAAGAGTCAGACACAACTGAGCAACTGAACTGAACTGAGGGCAGTGTAGTATCCAATTCCTATTCCTAGCTGTCTCAGTGGATACATTGAAAAAAGTAGGTTTCCAATAATAAACACCACTTTTAGAGTAGTATTGCCCTCTAGAGGCAGTGAGGGGAATGGAAATAGTGTGCTTCAATCATATTTGCAATGCTTCCTTTTCCTTATTTTTAAAAAAATATTTATTTTTTTGGCTGTGCTGGGCCTTCGGCGTGGCACACGAGACCGTCAATCCTTGTTGCTGCATGTGGGATCTGTAGTTGTGGCATGGGGGATCTAATTCCCTGAGCAGGGACTGAACCTAGGCCCCTTGCATTAGGGGCATGGAGTCCTAGCCACTGGACCACAGCGAAGTCTCTGCAGTGCTTTGTTTCTAAAGTTAGTGGTTGGCTTATGAGTTTGTTGTTTTTAAATAAGTCTTTGAAAAATATTTTTTCAATGTCCAATTCATAATTTTAGAAAATGTTCCCAAATAGCTGATTCAGTGTAAAACATTTTATCTCTGCTAGCTCTCTACTATTACTTCTTTTTATGAAACAGATGGTTATTTTGCTTAAAGAAAAACAAGCTCCTTTTTATGAAAAATATACAATAGGCAGAGCATCTAGGAATCCTATATAATTAAAGAGCTAATGAATCATGACAGTGTAACATAAGATGTCTCATTATAAATTGAAGAATATGATTTCTGAAGATTTTTGAAATATATATATATATACATGCTTTCTCCCCTGAAAGATTATTAACAATGTGATAAAACTTTTATTCAAGAAAAAATCAGTATACACCATACCCTAATACTGGTTAGAGTAGGAATACTACTTATATGATTCTTTACACCTTATTAGAGGTTTTCAAATGTTATCTGATTTGATCAACATTACAGCCTTGGCATGGCTCATATTATTTTCCCAATCTGTGGATGAGGAAGCTGAAGATCAAAAAGGTCAAAAGGGACTTTTCCCAGGTCTCAGAGTTAGTAAGTAATATTCTTCCTCTTACTCTACCCACTATTGGAAAGATGGGCTGAGTGAGTGTCAGTCTGAGAGACAGAGGTGAAGACAAAGCCATAGGGACTGATTTTTCACATGGTCCACTGCTGCCAGTGCTCTAGAAACAATCAAGCCAATGAATTCTCACCTGGCGACTCTGCAAGGTGCTCTTGTTTCTCTTCTCTGTCCTGAAACTGAATTAAATGTGACCACAAAGCTGACTTTCCCTGAAAGTACAAGGCATATATGATTTTTCATTTTATAAGAAACAATTCATTAAAAAATAACTTCTCATCAAAACCGTTCACATTGAAATGCCTAATTTGAAGCTGGGAAACTGCAGTTCATCCATTCCTAGGTGTGTGACATCCTGAGCATCCCACTCCATGTGTAGTGAGGGTCATCCTTTGCCTCACTGACAAGGCTGGCAGCAGCCTGGGGAAGGGCAGCTAAGCAAAGGCCAGAAGTGCAGGCATGGAAATCCCCAACTTCAGCTGGGTTGTTACTTCACTGTATGTAACTAGGGCTGTCTACACTCGCCACATCAGTCAGCATGGAATTAAAGGCTCTAGCAGCACAGAATGTATTTGTGTATGCAAAACATGTTTGGATGTATGCAGGAGCAATGAGGGAAGAAAAGTGGGGCAGGAGGAGAAACAGAAAGGATGAGGAAGAAAGAAAGATGCACAGAGCAGGGGAAAAAAAAAAAACTCAAAGGGAAATAAGAGGGACAAAAGCAAAGAAAGCATCTAATTTTTCCACCCTGAATTACCAGACAACTTAAAATGGCAAAGAACTGTTGATTCTGACTAATATTTAGATTTTTTTCTTAGACAGTGATGAAAGTAGATACTTAATGGAATCTACAGTGAATACAGTCCCTGCAGTGAATGTGTTCTTTTACCTTTTCCTGTTTACCAGGAAAGGAGCCCCAAACTGCTTGCTAATCATGGGTTGTATTTTCTTTTTCTGAAATTAAAATGTCTGTGGTATATTTCTCATTATCCTGTGACAAAAGGACTTATCCTTTCATTTTTATGGCTTTTTTCCTTTTTGTTACTTTTCTTAACAGGACTTGTAACTGGTCCTGTCAGCAGGGACTCTTGAACCTGTTACCTGCTTGACCTGCAAGCCGTGGCTCCATATCCTTTCCAACAGGTCACAGAGGCTGGCAATCAGGGTGTTCTCCTCCAAGCCAGTTATGTTTGCTTCCCCATGGCCCAGTTCTACTGCTTCGTGTCCCATCTTCTCCACCAACATGCGTTTCGTCTGAAAATATCACATGTGATCTCAAGTGTTATTCCAGCAATGAGCCGTCAAGTCAATTCCTGAATTGGGAGACCTGGGTTCCCTTCACTATATTTCTAACTGCAGATTTGGAATCACTTTGGGGAAAGTGTCTTAATCTCTATGGTCAACTAATGAATAATATCATGTATAACTATTCTATCAGAGAAATAGAGAGCCACTAAAGAGAGAGTCTGATGCTATTTTAAAGTATCCTCGTGAAAATGCTTATGTACAACAATTTTCAGATTACTAACTTGAATGAAGTGAAGTGAAATGAATTCGCTCAGTCATGTCTGACTCTTTGTGACCCCATGGACTGTAGCCTACCAGGCTTCTCAGCCCATGGAATTTTTTAGGCAAGAGTATTGGAGTGGATTGCTATTTCCTTCTCCAGGGGATCTTCGTGACCCAGGGATTGAACCCAGGTCTCCAGCATTGCAGGCAGACGCTTTACCATCTGAGCCACCAGGGAAGCTACTAACTTGAATAACATTGGGCAATTACACCAGATCTACTATATATCATAGAATCCAAAACTCCATCCTGCCACCACCACTCATGCTCCATCTTAGCACATTAAAGATATTCACACTTAGTTTTGATTGCACTCAGGCAAAAACCACAATACAAACAGGCAGTTCTAAATTTTTTCAGAACTCTGTAATTTGTAAGTGAAGCAGATTTCTTTTTTCCTTCTTCATTTTCCCTTTCATCTCTTCTCTGGAATGAGTATGTACCAGAAAATGGAAACGAAATGGAAATCAGTTTCAAGTATGGTAACTTACAGCAGACTTAACTGTCCTCATAAAATGTGAGAGGGAATCTAGTTACTTCAGGCAAGGACCATGTCTGTGTGATTCAGCATTGCAAGTTGATGCTGACATAGTGCATTTACTGAACACAGAGAAGGTACTCAAGAAATGACTGTCAAATAAATGAATGGCTGAAATGATGTTCTGAGTTTTGTCAACTTGTAGCGCTACCTCTGATAAACACAGATATCTGAGAGGAGACTCATGTACAACACACAAACCTACAACGTGGCTAAGATCTTCTTCCTTATGGGTATATGCACACACATATGGGCACAGATGAGGTTCTACACAGGTTCACATAGAGATACATACAAACACATACAAAAAATGTGCTGCCTTTCACATAAGTTGACAACATCCCTGACAGAACTTCTGATTGGCTTATTATCTGTCCATGTTGAAGACGAAGACAGCAACAGCTGAAAGGTAAGAAAAGCTGCAGGGCTCCCATGTCACTGATTCTGTGGGTGACAGAACTCACAGAGGTTCATGACTTTAGTAAAGAGCACACGAGGTTTATGCCCCAGTATTAAGTGCCTTTCTAGTGAAGCTAAAGACTCAAGTGGGGGTTGGCTCAGTTCATTTTAGCTTCACACATGGAGGGAACATGGATGCGCACTGTCCTGTGCCAGTGAGTAATACGTACCTTCATTCTACATTCTTTTAATAAGCCTTCTACAAATTTCCAGTTGGTCTGTGCAATCACTGCAGGAGAAAGGTCTGACAATTTGGGTTGCCTCAGGTTTTTTCCTAAACTTCGTGCCTCTTGCATGTACTTCTAAAAATTAAAGAGTATTTTTAATGCATAAACATCAGATATTCTTCTAATCTAACCTACTTAACCTTAAAAATAAGTGCAGGAACAAAATGCAAACAAAGGCTGTACGTCTATATATGTGCAACAGCAGTTCAAGGTTTAGTACACTGAAAGGCAGAGGGTAGTCACACTCCCTCTACTGTTAGTCCCATGAAAATGAGAGTGACAGAAGCCACAGCAAATAAAAACTCATTCAGTCTTTTCACTGGGAATATCCAGTGTGCGATTAGTTGGGATCATGGCTAGGATGGAAAAACTGGGGTGTCTGAATGAATATCAAACTCAAGGTTTTCCAGGAACCCAGTGATTCTCAAATCACTGGTTTCCTCCACCCATTTCCCTACAGATCAAGAGCCGTGAGGCACTTCCAGCCTCTTGGGCAGTGCTGTCCTTTGTTCTAATCAAGTCACAACAGTAAATTAAGTCAGCTCTGGAAAATGGCTGCAATGAATTTTATGACATCAGGCATATGTGCTTACTCATAAAATGAGCATAAAGCAAGCCCACCTGCCTCTTAACAAAGGCTATGAGACCACTCTGAAAAGTATCATGTACTCCCAATGCAGGAGGTGACCTCTTATTTCCAAGGCACTTTGAGACATCCCTACTTTGCCTTGTTCCATGGTCAAAAGAAATCGGAAAATCATATTATTTTAGGAGACACGATGGCTCAGAGGACCATAGAAACTCAGACCACTGCTCTTGAACTTTGGTTAGTGAATTTCCAGTAAGAGAAGCACTACATGTAATTAGTTCAGGACAGCTGTTATCTCTCTCCTTTCTGTGGCACCTGCAAAAGCTCATCCGGATACCTTATGTTGGTGTCAGGACCGCAGGGCAGAATCTCCAAGAAGTCTAAGTGTCTTAGGTTTGTATTTAGAGAATAATTCCTCTAATTATATAGTAAAACCAGCAGTTTATTGGAGTGAGAGAGACTGCAAGCCAGCACATCCTCCCACAGACACATATGTGAAATCTATCTTTACTATCTTAAGGGGAGATTTGATAGTATAAGAAAAATATGTGTAAAATCTTTTGCATTCTTTAAATAAAAGAGAGTTTTTGCACATTTAACACATTTCCCCTTTGGAAGAAAAATAACCTGCTAAATTTAGTACAATTGTTAAAAGTCTCACCAATTAGGGATTCAACAAAGCCATTTACCTTCTACTTCCCGACCCTCCTGACAAAAGGCAGCATTTACAAAATAATCTCTTTTCCAGTGTACTTATTTTAAGGATGGATTTAAAAATTAAATGGACTCTGCACATGGTTAGTTGTGTATATTTCTTTCCGCTTCAAATCCTTTTTAGAGGGTAAAAGGAAGAGGGAAAATTGACAATGAGAGGCAACAATCTCCACCAGGGAAACTAAGGGTAACAGAGTTGTGTGAAACATCCTGAAGGTTAGTATAAATAAAAGCAGGAAATGAAGAATATCAGAAAAATAAACCTGAGATATAAGACAGGGATCATATATGAGACTACAATTACCTGCATTTCCTATCATTTCAGGTTGTACTAATGTTATTTGGAACATTACAACTTAGAGATAAATGGTTGGTAAAAACAAATGTTAACTGCTAATGTTAAAAGGGTTCTGTTTCTCCACAGGCCTCAATTCCTCCATCTTTAGGACTGTGCAAATGCAGAGAGAACCACTACAAGATCCAATTCTCAAGAACACTGAAGTATCACACTTGGCTTAGGAAGGAATACACTAGCTACAATGAAAGAAGTGAGGTACATGATAAAGCAAGAGAATAGGAAGAAGCCTCAGGCGTTTTTCCTTTTCTCTGAAATATATGAATAGATTTTAAAAAGTCAATAATCAGATTAAAAATTAAGCACTGTTTAAAATTTAGGTTCTGTTTTATAATATAAATGACAGCAAGCTAGAATGGGACTGTCCTTTGAGTGGCCATAGTCACTGATCAGCCAGCACATATGAGGTGGATACAGTATTAGCCAACAGTGAATTCCACAGAGTCACATGCAAACTCTCCTTCTGAGCACCTTTGTTGAAGCCACATAACAAGCCACATTCCATGGACATGTGCAGAATGAATACAGGGGTAGCTAAAGACCCCTTCTCACAGCAAGAAGTGAGGCTGCCTCTGCATACTGCAAAAGCAAAGCAGTGCCCTCACAATAAACAAGTGACAATGAAGACGTGCTTTCCTCGGGGTAACTGAGGAAAAGGTGCATTTTAAGATAAAAAACTGAGATGGAAGAAATCTTTCACAGGGAGTGGTTTCATAATAAAGTCCATTTTCCTACATAGGAAGGTCACCCTAGGTTTCTTCTGAGATTTCTACTATGCTGTTCTTCATTTCTGTCTAAGCCAAAAATAGGAAAGTGAGTGAATAAAGTAAAAGTTGCTCAGTCGTGTCCAACTCTTTGTGACCCTTATGTGACTCTTATGTGACTTAATAGTCCATGGACTTCTCCAGGCCAGAATACTGGAGTGGGTAGCCTATCCTTCTCCAGTGGATCTTCCCGACCCAGGAATCGAACTGGGGTCTCCTGCATTATAGGCAGATTCTTTACCAACTGAGCTATCAGGGAAGCCCAAAATAGTAGGAACTACCTATAAAAACATATCCTATTATTCAATAGGCACTGAAATAATTGCTCTTCAGTACAGGCTTTCATCTAATAAATACCCTGTCCCTCTAACCAACATGGAGAATGTGAAGAGCAGACCAATGTAAAGTTAAGTAAATTTATCTTACTATGTCATAATGGGATAAAATACAACCAAAAGTCCTAAGTAACTCTGACCCTCAGGTGAGTCATGTTCAGTGCAACCCAGTGTGCAGGGTCCTGGGAAGAGTACTGGCTTGGAGTCAGGAGCCTGGCCTGTGGGCCGAGCTTCGCCTCTGTGTCCATCGGACTTTAGACAAAGCCTTTTGGACTTGCTTCCCTGGTGGCTCAGATGGTAAAGACTGCCTGCAATGCGGGAGACCCAGATTCGAACCCTGAGTCAGGAAGATCCCCTGGAGAAGGGAATGGCTACCCAATCCAGTATTCTTGCCTGAAAAATTCCATGGACAGCGTAGCCTGGCAGGCTACAGTCCATGGAGACACAGAGTCAGACATGACTGATCAACTCACACTTGGATTCGGTTAAATCATGTCAAGCTGAACAAAGATACCTCAACTGTTTCTCTTAGCACTAAGATTGTATATTGGTGATCTGATTTTCTGACCATATAAAATACAGACCAGGAACAAGGAAGGGTAAAATAAAACACTGTAGAGATAAACTCAGCAAAAGAAAAGTTGTTTGAAAATGAATCACTTCTGCACTTTTGCAAAATGCTTAAGTAAAAGAAAATTTGAATACTTGATATATTTCCTCTTTTTGGAAGAAAAACAGTGTGCTAAATCTAGTCCCCTTCTTCTCCCTCAAAAATACCACTGATTTGGGATTCAAATAATCAATTTTCTCTGCCAAAAGTAGAGAATACTCTTGTTAGCGCAAACACCATCATGAAGAGGTACAAGTCACAAAAGGAAGTGGAGAGCTAAGATTTCACGTCACAAGGTGATGTGAGGCATCTAGAGCTATGTGCACTCACACACGTGGATGATTCAAGGAACACCACAGACAAGATTCAGGAACATCTGCAAAGGACTTTCAGGCAAAGAACATACCAGGCAGCACTCAGAGAAGGATTTTTTAGGAAGTCGTGCAGGAGGAGGTGGACCCTGATCCCACTCCCAGAATGCCATGGAGTTCTGACAGACCACAAGTTCCCCGGAAGGCTATGAGGATGGAGAAGTGCAAATGACAGAAAAGCAAAAAAGAAAAGGATGGGAGAAAGAGACAAGCAAAACAAGCATGCATATGATAAAGTCACAGCAGAAGGTAAGGGAAAGAAATATAGTAGCACAAAGAAAAGCAGTAGACAGGCTATGCTTCAGTTCTTAAGAAAATGTTTAAAACCATGTATGTATGAACAAATCAACAAAAAGCAATATATATATTCAGAATGACGTTTTCTGCTTTTTTTTTTTACCCATTTGAGTTTAGAAAAGAGTTAACAGATAATGGACTACGTTTTTTTGATCACAAGAAAAAATTAAAAATTACTTATCATTATTCAAATGTATAATTACTGTTTTATTTTCAAATAGTACAAATAAAGCATAAGGATATTAATTTAAAGTAATTTTAAAACACTCCTAAAAATGGTGAGAACAAGCCAAGGACAAATAACAGGCAAATATATATTTATTAAGCTTTAATTATGCCTGAAACTTAGAAAGTCTATGTTTCTTATACCCTTTTTCCCCTTCAGGAGATATACTGACCAAAACTTTATCCTAAGCTCAGCCTTTACTTGATGTGGTCCACAGGGAGACTTGTTTTACAGCCTTATTTTAGATGTATTAAAATTACAAACTGGAAAAAAACAGGTGTTTCAGCTATGTCAAGTCAGTATAAAAGAATTACTATTTTAAAACATAAATTGAACAATTATTTTTTTTAGAAGAATGCAAGAGGACCTACACAATGATACCTGCTGGACTAAATAAGCCTAGTTAACAGTTCCCGCATCAAGGCGTCCCAAGAAGGCAACCTACATACCTCCCTCAAGTCATTGTCCAGCCCAACGTGCTCGGAATGCTGGCGAAGGCGGTCTTTCCTGCGCTGTGCAGTGGCACTCCGACTCACCCAGCGACTGAAAGAATAGAAGGGGGTAGGTTAAAACAAACTATCAAGCGAAAAAATAAAATGTGATCTCACCTGTCTTTAAAATAGAAAGGATGTATGGTTGAAAACTAAAGACCAGCAATACTTATTTTTCAATAGATTCTTTTTAAACAAGTATATACCAGCTTTATTGAGATGTAATTTAGATACCAGATATTGGCTCAGTTGTGGCCAGCTCTTTGCAACCCCATGGGCTATATAGCCTGCCAGGCTCCCCTGACAATGGAATTTTCAAAGCAAGAATACTGAAGTGGATTGCCATTTCCTTCTCCAGGAGATACCATCTAATCCACCCATTTAAAGTATCCAATTCAGTGGTTTTTGGCATACTCATAGAGATGTGCAACCCTCACCACAATCAATGCTTCTTTCAAACTGAGGTTAAAAAATGTACAGTGTCTGTAGTGATTCTCTCCTTTCTACCTACCTGCCCAACAGAGCCCCAAGTCTGGATAGAGACCACCCTAGCACTTTCTTTTGTTATATTCATGTGTTAATAGATTAGTTCTTGATTTCCCTCATGACTACCAAGAATCACTGAACCTGCTGCCCTTTATCAAGTTCCTCCATTTCTTTTTTTTTTCATTTATTTTTATTAGTTGGAGGCTAATTACTTTATAGTATTGTAGTGGTTTTTGCCATACATTGACATGAATCAGTCATGGATTTACATGTGTTTCCCATCCCAATCCCCCCTCCTGTCTCCCTCCCCATCCTATCCCTCTGGGTCTTCCCAGTGCACCAGCCCTGAGCACTTGTCTCATGCATCCAACCTAGGCTGGTGGTCTGTTTCACCCTTGATAGTATACTTGTCTCAATGCTATTCTCTCAGCACATCCCACCCTCGCCTTCTCCCACAGAGTCCCAAAGTCTGTTCTGTACATCTGTGTCTCTTTTTCTGTTTTGCATATAGGGTTATCGTTACCATCTTTTAAAATTTCATATATATGCGTTAGTATACTGTATTGGTCTTTATCTTTCTGGCTTACTTCACTCTGTATAATGGGCTCCAGTTTCATCCACCTCATTAGAACTGACTCAAATGAATTCTTTTTAATGGCTGAGTAATATTCCATTGTGTATATGTACCACAGCTTTCTTATCCATTCGTCTGCTGATGGGCATCTAGGTTGCTTCCATGTCCTGGCAATTATAAACAGTGCTGTGATGAACACTGGGGTGCACGTGTCTCTTTCAGATCTAGTTTCCTCGGTGTGTATGCTGTGAGTGGTATTGCTGGGTCATATGGCAGTTCTATTTCCAGTTTTTTAAGTAATCTCCACACTGTTCTTCATTTCTCTTAAAGACTGTTACCAAACGTTTCCCTTTATCCTCAAATGCCTCTACTCAACTTGATGACCCAGCCTTGCCTCCTTCCTGCTGCTCCTACTTCATTGATACACACATACAGACCCACTCCCCATTCATCTTTCTTCTAATCCCAAAGTGTAATATATACTGGCCACAGCTCAAAACTTTCTTCCACCAGGATCCCTGACCAGTTCTCTCTTGCCTACTCCAATCTTCTCCATTAGAAATCTCATGTGCCATATCTCCAATTTTTTTTTCTCTCAAATGAGTATTGCCCTTAAGCTTACAAGTATGCTAGTCTCTCTGACACATTTCAATCTGTTTCTTTGCTCTTTCATGTAAACATTCTTAAGAAAAGTTTACATGTAAGGCCTCTGCTTAATTATCTTTGGATCTACTGTTCATCTCAAATCAGCTTCTTTTCCTGAAAATGATCTTGATGAAGCCATTTATAGCCCTAACTGCCAATCCAATGGCTGTAATTCCATTCTTAGCTTACTTACACTTTCTGCTGATCCTTCTACCTTAAACCTTCAGATGTCTTCAAATACCTCAGTGATCCCAATGGGGTAAGATCTCTCACATTTGATCCTTGGAAGATTAAGTTTTCTTCCCTTCTATTCATCTCTCAGACAGCTTTAGATGCTACATAGAAAGTGTTCTATAATTCCTCCAAATGCAAATTAGCTATCCCTCTCCTATTCTCCAATTATAGCTTTTATCAGTGTTTTATAATAACTTAACTCTATTTTCTATATAATCCTCTCTGCTATAAATGCTTGAAGGGTCGATGTCATTTCTGTAAGCCATTTTATCTGCAGAGTCAACTGCATCACCTATTCCTTCTATAAATACACCCTAAATAAATTTAATCAGAGACACAGTCTAATATTTAGGTTTACCGATGTTCATCACAGCATGTATGCAATAATGAATTCTGAGTTTCCTTTATTCTAAGACTCACATTTTGAGTAAGTTAGTCGCTCACACTTGGGGCTTCCCCAATGGCTCAGTGGATAAATAATCTGCCTATAATCTAGGAACAGGAGATGAAGGTTTAATTCCTGGGTTGGGAAGATACCAACCACTCCAACATTCTTGCCTGGAGAATCCCATGGACTAAGGAGCCTGGCAGGCTACGGTCCAAAGGGCAGCAAAGAGATGGACATGACTGAGTGACTACAAACACAAGACTCACATTTTGGCTTTTAAACGTTTCTGAGGGGACTTCCCTGGTGGTCCAGTGGCTAAGACTCTGAGCTCCCAGTGCAGGGGTCCTGGGTTTCATCCCTGGTCAAGGAACTAGATCCCACATGCTGCAACTAAGACCCAGCACAGCCACATAAATAAATATTAAAAAAAATAAAAGTTTCTGAAACTAGGATGAATCTTCTATGTCATATACAAGTTTAAAGCATAATTTTTCCAAAAAACTTTTGAATTAATAGCAGATCTTACAACCAACAGTTACTCAGAATCAAGTAAACATGCTCAATTCAGTTCAGTTGCTCAGTTGTGTACGACTCTTTGCGATCCCATGAACTGCAGCACGCCAGGCTTCCCTGGCCATCAACAACTCCTGGAGCTTGCTCAAACTCATGTCCATTGAGTCGGTGATGCTAGCCAACCATCTCATATTCTATTATCTCCTTCTCCTTCCACCTTCAATCTTTCCCAGCATCAGGGTCTTTTCCAATGAGTCAGTTCTTTGTTTGCATCAGGTGGCCAAACTATTGGAGTTTCAGCTTCCACACCAGCCCTTCCAATGAATATGCAGGCTTGATTTCCTTTAGGACTGATTGGTTGGATCTCCTTGCAGTCCAAGAGACTCTCTTAAGAGTCTTCTCTAACGACACAGTTCAAAAGCATCAATTCTTTGGGGCTCAGCTTTCTTTATAGTCCAACTCTCACATCTATACATGACTACCGGAAAACCACAGCTTTGACTAGACGAAAGGGTCTTTGTCAGCAAAGTGATGTCTCTGCTTTTTAATATGCTGTCCAGGTTGCTCACAGCTTGTCTTCCAAGGAGCAAGCGTCTTTTAATTTCATGGCTCAATGCAACCTAAATGTTCAACAGTAGGGGGTGATATAATAAAGACCTTTATAATGAAAGTCATTAAAAAAATTAAGTTACCAGGAATATCAATGGGCTTCCACGGTGGCTCAGATGGTGAAGAATCTGCCTCCAATGCAGGAGACCTGGGTTTGATTCCTGGGTAGGGAAGATCCCCTAGAGAAGGGAATAGCTACCCACTCCAGTATTCTTGCCCGGAAAATGCCACTGACAGAGGAGCCTGGTGGGCTACTGCCCATGGGGTCGCAAAGAGTTGGACACAACTGAGCGACTAAGACTTTCAATTTCAGGAATATCAATAATATGGGACAGTGGTCATAATACAATAATGAATGAAAAAGCTGGATACAAAGCTGTGTAAGTAATTTTCTAATTAACAAAACAAGTCTGGACATGCACACAAGGATCCATGCAATGGAAGGGCATTAATACCAAAAGTTAACATTTCGTGGTGATGGCATTATAGGTGGTTTTCTTTTTATTTTCAATTAATTTTTAACTGAAGTATAGCTGATATACAGTGTTTCAGTATACAACAAAGTATTCACAATTTTTTAAAGTTATATCTCATTTACAGTTATTATAAAGTATTGGCTGCATTTCTTGTGCTATATGATAAATCCTTGTTGTTACTGTTGTTCAGTTGCTCAGTAGTGTCTGACTCTTTGTGACTCCATGGACTGTAGTGCGCTAGGCTTCCCTGTCCTCCTCTATCTCCTGGAGTTTGCCCAAACCCATGTCATTGAGTCAGTGGTGCCATCCAACCATTCTTGTCCTCTGTTGTCCCCTTCTCCTCCTACCTTCAATCTTTCCCAGCATCAGGGTCTTCTCCAATGAGTTCTCTTTGCATGAGGAAGCCAGAGTACTGGACTGTCAGCTTTAGCATTAGTCCTTCCAATGAATATTCAGGGTTGATTTCCTTTAGGATTGACTGGTTTGATCTCCCTGCTGTCTAAGGGACTCTCAAGAGTTTTCTCCACAATTTGAAGGCATCAATCCTTCAGCACTCAACCTTTTTTACTGTCCAACTCTTACATCCATATATGACTACTGGAAAAACCATAGTGTTGACTATACAGACCTTTGTAGGCAAAGTAATGTCTTTGCTTTTTAATATACTGTCTAGGCTTGTCACGGTTTTTCTTCCAAGGAGCAAGTATCCTTTAATTTCATGGCTGCAGTTACCATCTGCAGTGACTTTGGAGTCCAAGAAAATAAAATCTGTCACTGTTTTCATTGTTTCCCCATCTATTTGCCATGAAGTGATGGAACTGGATGCCATGATCTTTTTGTTTTTTTGAATGCTGAGCTTTAAGCCAGCTTTTTTACTCTCTTTCACCTTCATCAAGAGGCTCTTTAGTTCCTCTTCGCTTTCTGCCATAAGGGTGGTGTCATCTGCATATATAAGGTTATTGATATTTCTCCTGGAAATCTTGATTCCAGCTTATGCTTCATCCAGTCTGGCATTTCACATGATGTACTCTGCATGTAAGTTAAATAAACAGGGTGACAATATATAGCCTTGACATACTCCTTTCCCAATTTGGACCCAGTCCATTGAAAGTGGTCTGGTATTCTCA